ACTAGTCCCACACTCGTGTGGCAGTTAAGATTCAGGAGAAAACTATGCTGTACACCAAAAAGTAATATAATATTGAATATAAATATAATTTTTTTAATTTTTTTTGAAGATTCAGGGGGTATATCTCAGCTGTGGAGGTTCCCCTGAGGAGCAAGGGGGCCCAGTCCAACATGGGCTCCCCAGCCCAGAGCACCAGTGCCAGGACAGACCCCTACATCAGGCTGTAAAAAATCAGCAGGGACTCGACTGGGTGAGACAGAGAACTGCTGCAGACCCAGACATCCTCTTAAAGAGCCCACGCAGAGCTGTACTCACTCATACTCACCCTAAGCTCCAGTGAAGGGATAGCAGCTCAAAAAGCACCAGGGACAGACAGGGAGGAACTGAATTGTCTAGCTTCAGAGCTAGAACGGAAAGGAAAGCACTTCCCCAGACAGAAGTGCTGGCAGGTACCATGATTCCTTCGTTGAGCCTTCCTCACACACAGCCCACAGGCACAGGCAGAATAGGGTACCACGTCTGAGCCTCCATCAAACTGCCTACCCTGGTGATTGATCCCCTGAGACCCCACCCCAACCAACGCGTGCTGGAGCAGAATCTCTTTTAGTGGCAGTCCTACACAAGTGGCCTGCTTCAGCCAGTGCTGAGGGCTTTCCTAAAATCTCTCAAAGGTCCACAAACTCCAAACAAGGGCTGGTCTTGGCATATACACTTTACCTCTTGTTAAGCGGACCCAAGCCTGGCACGAGTGGCAGCCGACCTCAGCTCACAGCTAGCCTCACCCAGGCATTCTTAAACCCAGGGCAGGCAGCTACCAACTGCGTGTCACTTTGTAGCTCCTCTGAGGTGGACCCAGGCCAGGCACAGGCAGCAAATGACCTGGGAGGCCTAGACTGAGAGCCGCTCCCAAGAAACCCAGAAACAAAACACATGAGGAGCTAATTGTGTGCTGGCTTCAGGCCAGAGCAGCACACAATTAGCTCCACAAACAACACACACAAAGGGTGAACTCAGGAGGCACCAGAGCCCTGCTAAGCTAATTGCACTCCATGGGGTCAACCCCCTCACTACAGCTCATCTGCTGTGGTCACAGCCAGTCATACCCACTGATGTGCCGACAGCAATCAAGGCTCAACTGAAACAGGAGGACATACACAATCCACACAAAAGATACCTCTGGAGCTCCAACCTCCCAGCCAAGGAAATCTGCACCATTGGACCTCACTGGACACCCACTACATAAGGCCACACTGCCACAGTGGAGAGACATAGCAGATGTAACTAACATATAGAAAATCACAGGGAGGCAGCCAACATGAGGACACAAAGGAACATGTCCTAAATGAAAAAAGAGGACAAAACTCTAGAAAAAGAACTAAACAAAATGGAAGCAAGCAATCTATTAGATACAGAGTTCAAAACACTGGTTATAAAGATTTTTGATGAACTTAGGGGGAAGAATATGTGAAATCAGTAAGAACTTGCATAAGTAGATAGAAACCATAAAAAAGAACCAGTCAGAAAAGAAAAATTCAATAACTGAAATGAGACCCTAGCCAGACAGCCCTGTGTAGTGTTTCCCAAACTTTTGACATATGTGTATCCCGTCTATAATTTTCCTAACACTGAGTACCCTCGTACTCATGAGAACGTAGAATTAGGTGCAGCTAAGCACAGTGCAATGCATATCCCCACCAAACTCCGGTGCAACGCGTACCCCCACCGAACTCTTTCCATACCCATGGGGGTACGTGTACCACAGAATCGGTCGTGGTGGACGTTTTGGCCGTAAGGGTGTGGCTATTAACATGGTGACAGAGTCCCCTATTAACAAGAGGACTCTTCGAGACATTGAGACTTTCTACAACACCTCCATTGAGAAGATGCCCCTCAATGTTGGTGACCTCATGTGAGAGGGGCTGGCCTGCTACCTCATCCCAGCCAGGGTTCTCAGTCTTTGGCAGGCTGAGGAGGAGCAGGAGGGGGGAGGGAAGGGAGCCAAGGGATGGACATCTCGTCAATTTTTTTCTTTTTTTTCTCCTTTGAATAAATGTCACTTTTTGAGGCAAAGAAGGAAAAAAAAAAAAAAGAAAAGAAAAGAAAGAAAATACATATTTTAAAAGGTAGATGAAAAAACATTTTCTCAGACCAATAATGTATGAGAGGATTCATTACTAAAAGATCTTCAGTACAAGGAAGTTTTTCAAGACAAAGGAAATGAAAGCAAATGCAAACTTGGATGTACACAAGGGATTAAGAAAAGGGGGGGTATATATAAAAAAAATTTCTCATTTAAAAAATTTCTTTAGAAAATAATTGTTCAAACAAAAATATAAATATATTTTGGAATATAAAGTAAAAATATATGACAGCAAGAGCACAAAAGATAAGGGGAAAGGACAAAAATACATTACTGTAAGGGTCTTATATTATACAGGTTGAGTGATGCCTTGACTGGGGTTAAAACAACTGGTCAAAAATCCAGCCCAGCTGGTATGGCTCAGTGATTGAGCATCAACCCATGTACCAAGAGGGTGCTGGTTCAATTCCCAGTCAGGGCACATGTCTGGGTTTCAGGCTCACTCCCTGGTGAGGGATATGCAGAGGCAGCCAATAGATGTTCTTTCTCATCAATACTTCTACATCTCTCTCCCTTTCCCTTCCTCTTTCTCTAAAAAAAAAAAAAAAAAAAAAAAAAAAAAAAAAAAAAAAATCAATAAAAATGTTTAAAATAATCCAAAGAGCACATAATCTGCCCTTAGAAAATCAAGCTCTGACTTCATGTATCCTTAAATATGACTACTAGTACATGTATTCTTAAGTGATCAAAGACACAAGAAGGAGCCCAGCTGGTGTGGCTCCGTGTTTCAGCATCAACCTATGAACCAGAAGATGACGGTTCCTTTCCCAGTCAGGGCACATGCCAAGGTTGTGGGGAGTGCAGGAGGCAGCTGATCAATAGTTATTCTATTTCTTCGAGTATAAAAGGAGGTTAATAACAGCACTACCTCCATCGACTGTAGTGAGACTCCAAGTGTTGATGACCATGGCAGACGTAAGTGCTCATGGCAAACACCTTTCGAAGTATTAACCATCTCAGTAGCACCATCCATCAGCCACAGCTGGACCGAATCACTGGAAAATCCCTAACCTAAGCCAAATGGATCAGGTTCCCACTCCTAGAAATTTGAATTGGGGCTGAGACAAAACTTTAGTCTGTGAATAGCTAATAACATGAAAATGCAAGAATTATATGCCAAAACTGGTTTGGCTCAGTGGATAGAGCGTCGGTCTGCGGACTGAAAGGTCCCGGGTTCGATTCCGGTCAAGGGCATGTACAGTAGTTGTGGGTACATCCCCAGTGGGGGTTGTGCAAAAGGCAGTTGGTTGATGTTTCTCTCATCATCGATGTTTCTAACTCTCTATCCCTCTCCCTTTCTCTCTGTAAAAAATCAATAAAATATATATATTTTTTAAGAAGAATTACAGGACTGCTCTATTCTGCCACACAAATGAAGAAGCAGGAAAAGCAGATCTAAGGAGAAAAGAAAGTCTGAGCCTCAAGGGCTTCCCAGGCTAGATAGAGTTCCTTCCAGACACATGACAGTATTCCTGCCCTTGGGCTCCATAAAGTTTTGTACAAAAACAAAAATAAAACCTCTTTTTAGCTTTGCCTGAATGACTTGAACAAATTTCTCACTGTTACTCACTACCAGAGAGTCCTAACAAACATAAACACCAGGCGATTGGTGGCTTTGATGCTGAGGGTTGGAGCAGGAGTCTCCTTTCCCAAACCAGAACTCAGAAAAGGTCACAAAAAGGGCCCTCTCTCTTTTCCCTCCTCTCCACTGGCTGCAGCATGCAGCTTCACAAATGGTCAGGTTCCCAAACTCACCCCTTATCCTATCTGTTTAGTGCTCTCCCTAAATGATGGCAAGGTCCCCAGGCTTGACCACAGAAGCCTACAGAAACCACAAACTTCCTAACATTCAGTACATTTCTAAGAAAGGATTAAAGACAGACAGTAATTTTGATTCTAAAAATACACATATGATACAGCTTCCAGAAAGATGGAGCACACATACTTTTCCCTAATGCTTTCACTTAGTACAAAAACATCCTTCAGAAATGGAGAGATCAAGACATTCTAAGATAAATGAAAACAAAGGGAATTGACTGCCTGAGTGTCTAAAGGAAGTTCTCTAAGCCAGTGGTCACCAACCTTTTGGACCACCAGTGGTCCGCGGACCATCAGTTGGTGACTGCTGCACACAGAAAGGAAACAATAAAAGAGATTATTATCTTACTTAATCCTCAAAACAACTTGAGTTGGTACTAATGTTATCCCCATTTCACAAATGAAAAAACCAAGGACCTTTCCCAAGGTCACATAGTTATTAAATGAGAGAAGAGTAACTTAAGTGCTTGCTCTCTTCTTTAGGCTGTTGATTAAGTCTCTATAACCTAAACCCTAACCCAGGAATTAGATCCCAAAGTGTACACTCATATTCACGCATGGAGTCTCACCTGGTACATCAGGAAGGAAAAAAGAACATCTAATTGAGGGGTGGGGATAGTAAGATATGTACACAGATAATAATTTAATAATAAAAAAACTTTAAAATTTTAAAATTTAAAAAAAGAAATTTGGGAAATTAAAAAAAAAAAAAGAACATCTACACAGAAAACTATTGAAAAACACCTAGGCCTATTAAATGAATTCAACAAGGTCACAGGACACAGATAAACATACAAATCTCAATTATGTCTATTTTATAACAATGAACATACGGACACCTGAAATTAAAAACAACAGCCAATTACAATACCTTAAAAACACAAAAACAGGAAATATGTACATGTACATCTAACAAAACATATACAGGATCTGTATACTTGACAACTATAAAAACTGATAAAAGGAATCAAAGAAAATCTAAACAAAAGGGAGTCAGACTGGATACAAAAAACAAAAGGTATGTAAATACATATGGTCTCACCCCCTCCACCAGCACCAGCTGGGTACAACCCACAGAGGTGTTGTTGGCTTTCGTGGCTTCTTCTCGGAAGACAGTGATAAGTTCCTCCAAACGCCTTAATTTTACCTCTTCCAGGACATCATCCTTCAGCCTGTGATATGCCCGCGTCTTCTATGAAAACAATTTTTAAAGAGGGAGGTCACCAAGGACCTATAGAATCCACAGCGGGAGACCATGTTCATTCCACCTGCAAGTTACAGACATGTACACAGGAAACCCAGGCCACAGCCCGAGGGTTCTCTAGTTCTGAGAGCCTTCTAAGAGAAAAAGGTAGCTATGCAGTGGAATCACTGTTTTTTACAAGGCCTACATTTTAAATTTAGCACATAAAAATTACAGACTCAAAACTATTTTCAACATTTTTATAGAATGTCCTAAGAATAAAAATTATATTTGTACGTATACCAAGTTACTTAGCCACATGGTTATAAAGTCACAAGATGCAAAGCAGCCTAAATGTGTATCAATAGGTAACTAGCAAAACAAATTATTATTTACAGCTGAAACTGGTTTGGCTCAGTGGTAGAGTGTTGGTCTGCGGACTGAAAGGTCCCGGGTTCAATTCCGATCAGGGTCATGTACATTGGTTGCGAGCACATCCCCGGTAGGGGGTGTGCAGGAGGCAGCTGGTCTATGTTTCTCTCTCATCGATGTTTCTGGCTCTCTATCTTTCTCCCTTCCTCTCTGTAAGAAAATCAATAAAATATATTTTAAAATAAATAAATTTTTTTTAAAACAAATTATTATTTACACAATGGGATATTACACAGGTATTAAAAAATAGTAAGATAGTTTTATATATACTGATATGATTGCTCTCCAAAATATACTTTTTTAAAGATTCTTTAAATTGATTTTTAGAGAAAAAGGAAAGGAAGAGGGAGGGAGGGAAGGAGGGACGTGTATAATAACTTTGGGGTACAAAAAATTCATATAAATATGTTTTAAATACATGAACTATCTCTAGAAGTTTGCAGAAGAAACTGCTAAGAGCAGTTGCCTTCAGGGAAGGAACTAAAAAACTAGGCAACCTGGGAAGAAGGAAGAATTTCTCACTACATATGATTTTGACCTTTTGAATTTTATACAATAAGCATATATTACCTAATCAAAAAAAGAAGAAAAGAAAATTCATCCTTGGCCAGCCAGTGTGGCTCAATTTGTTGGGCATCATCCCAGGCACCAAAGGTTGCCAGGTCAATTCTAGTCAGGAAACATACAGTGGTTGCGGACTTGATGACCAGTTGGGGGTGTGCAGCAGATGGATGTTTCTCTCTCTCCCTCTTCTTTCCTCTCTCTAAAAATCAATAAACTATTCTTAAATAAAAAAAAGAAAAGAAAATGTATCCTTGAAAAGCCTTTACATCATCCAACACCATGGTATGCATACATTTTTACACACACACACACACACACACACACACACACACACACACACACAGATCATAACAGCCCTAACTGGTTTGTCTCAGTGGATAGAGCGTCAGCCTGCAGACTAAAGGGTCCCAGGTATGATTCAGATTAAGGGCATATGCCTGGGTTGCAGGCTTGATCCCCAGTAGGGGACGAGCAGGCGGTGACCAATCAATGATTCTCTCTCATCATTGATGTTTCTATCTCTCTTTCCCTCTCCCTTCCTCTCTGAAATCAATAAAGATATATTTTTTAAAAACCATAATACAGTTAGAGAACCAATGAGCTAAACAAAAGTATGGATTAAGAGATAAATCAATTCACCAAAGTCAATCAAATCAATCTGCCTTTGAGAGAACTACAAAATCCAGAAAAATATGGAGAATAGGTAGAGAATCCTACAATGTAATTCTCTTACAGGGCTTATTCGATTCTTATTAACAACTTAACTCTATTATAGACTTTCTTCAGTGCTTTATACATATCATCTTATTTAATCCTCAAAACAACTTGAGTTGGTACTAATGTTATCCCCATTTCACAAATGAAGAAACCAAGGACCTTTCCCAAGGTCACATAGTTATTAAATGAGAGAAGAGTAACTTAAGTGCTTGCTCTCTTCTTTAGGCTGTTGATTAAGTCTCTATAACCTAAACCCTAACCCAGGAATTAGATCCCAAAGTGTACACTTATATTCAATGCCAATGCCCATAAGAATATGCTTCCATAACACACTGAAAATCCATTTCCCAAATCTAACATTATAAAGAATTCCTATGGCATGTTTGTGATTTTCATAGAAAATAAGCAACAGTTCCTTTGAAGCTTCATCCCTGAAATAACTCTGTAAGAGACATGAATATACACACCAGCCACTGCCTACAGAACAAGAGACAGTGGGCTTTTAAATAAATGAGTTAGCTTGACTGATGGCAGTTGAGTTGACAGTGGCTAAGGTCACAGGTTCATTCATTCATCAGCCAGCTTTCCTGAGCCCATGGCGACAGAGGCTCCTCAAACTCCAGCCCAAACACAAGGCAAGTTACCCCCAATGTGACTGTGGGGATAAGAAATAACATAGGCAATTCATCCCTACCACCAAGAAAAAGGCAGCATACCAGCACAGAAATAGTTACTCCCCATCCCAGAGCTCACCTGCCTCATGCTGTAGGCAAAGAGGAAGCCCATGTTATACTGAACTTCCCGAAGCAAAGACACTGTCTGGAGGTGATCTTCCTCTGTTTCCCCACAAAAGCCCGCAATGAAATCACTGCTGAGGCTCACGCCTGTGACACACAAAGGACAAAGGACAGCTGCTTACTTTCAAGAGAGGCTTTTGGAACTTGTAGGCTACAGAGGGAGGGATAGCAATTGTAAGGGCTTTCCTGGAGCTATTGAGTCCACGTGCAAGTGTAATCAGGTCACCGCGGAGCGAGGAGGGAGTGGCCCTGGCTATCTACAGTGTCCCCGTGCCAGAGCCTGGCTTCTCAGGCTACATTCCCCTCAGCACTAGAAAAGGTAGTTTCACTTCAAATGTGGGATTAAGAGCACAGTAGGAGTCCACATTTTCAAATTGGTCCTGCTTTATAAAAACATTGCAGTGCCCCATACAAATACACTTTTGAAGTTAGTTTAACACAATGTTCATTTAAAATAGTAACAATGACTACTACTTACTGAATACTTACTGAGGGCTACACATTACTATCTACTAGTATTTAACTTAACCTATTTAACTATCCCAAAAATCCAATGAGGTGAGTAGTATTAATTGCATTTTATAGATGAGAAAGCTGCAGCCCAGACAACTTCCACATTATCCTGTCCCATCAAAATAAAGGTATTTATGCAAAATACAAGTTACAATCATTAGAAATTTGGACAAAATGTCGACATTATCAACCAAATCTAAAGTAAAAGATTACAGAGTAATTTTATTAGAAGAAAAAAAGACAGCCGGGACCGGTTTGGCTCAATGGATAGAGCGTCGGCTTGGGGACTGAAGGGTCCTGGGTTCGATTCCGGTCAAGGGCATGTACCTTGGTGGCGGGCATATCCCCAGTAGGAGGTGTGCAAGAGGCAGCTGATCGATAACTCTCTCTCATCGATGTTTCTAACTCTGTATCTCTCTCCCTTCCTCTCTGTAAAAAATCAATAAAATATATATTTTTAAAAAAAGATAAAAAGATAAAGATAAATAGGAAAGGAATAATTTCTAAGTACACATTTTTTTTTAAATATATTTTATTGATTTTTTACAGAGAGGAAGGGAGAGGGACAGAGAGCCAGAAACATCGATGAAAAACATCGACCAGCTGCCTCCTGCACACCCCCAACCGGGAATGTGCCCACAACCAATGCACATGTCCTTGACCGGAATCGAACCTGGGACCTTTCAGTCCGCAGACCGATGCTCTACCACTGAGCCAAACCGGTTTCGGCTAAGTACACATTTTTAAAGATATCAATTGCCCCCAAAACAGAACTAATTCAGACCATATATAACTTTGCCAACTAACAAGAAAAAAACAAGGTCTCTTCCATATGCTCAGAAACACAAAAACTATAGAAAATGAATCTCTTTAGCCTTGAGGTCATAAACTGATCCACATCTGTGAGTATTTCTAGCAAGACCAAAACATTAAAAATCAGAAAGAAATAAAAGAGAGAAAGAGCCCTAGCTGGTGTGACTCAGTTGGTTGGAGCATTGTCCCATACACCAAAAGGTCATGGGTTTGATTTCTGGTCAGGGCACATACCTGGGTTGCAGGTTCGGTCCCCAGTTGGTGTGCATATAAGAGACAACCAATTGATGTTTCTCTCTTATATCAATCTTTCTCTTTCTCTCTCTCCCGCTTCTTGAGAGAGAGAGAGAGAGAGAGAGAGAGAGAGAGAGAGAGAGACAGACAGACATTAAGAGAAGCAAAGTAAGTGTAAAAGGTGTTGCAGGTACTGCCACAGGTGTTGCCTGTATCTGATCTGATTGAGACTGTGGTCACTGTAATGTGCTCAGTAGAATACATTTCTTAAATGTACCTGGAATAGACTCTCTGATGTGATGAATTAACTCCACATAAGCTTCTCTTGAATAGCTGCAATAAAGAACAAAAAGAATCTTCTTTAAATTAATGTTATTAAAAGATAACACTGAATTACCACATGTAATCACTTCTCACCCACACAGGACAGGACAATCAGTTAAACTATCCAAAAGACCTTATGATCCAAAACTTTACTGTAACCTAATTTAGGGCCTATGAATGTTTAGTTCAAGAACATAAATTATTTTAAAAAGCCGTCTGCATTTAACTAATAATGGAGATAGATTAAACATTTCAAAGGATCTAGATGATTTTATATGCTCTCTGGTTCCAAGATTATGGCCAGAGGGATATCAAGGTCACCAAGAACAATTTGGAGGTTGTCAAGGACTTAACAGTGTTGTCAAAGGAGGTTGTCAAAGACTGAACTCAAGTCTGCCTGAGAATTCTGACTTTTGCGGGGGGGGGGGGGGGGGGGGGGGAGTGAAAGGGCCAAATAAATAAATAAATCTCTAAAAGTCTTTGCCAATGTCAAAAACACTAGTTCCATACAGCTTGCCATCTGTCACATTCTCCTTTCAGCCTTTTGTCTGCAACATTTATTATTCCCAAAGTAAGTGAACACATAGAGCTATACTAAATTCCAAGACCTAAAAAACTTTAATGTTAAAATCTCAGTGTGCCACATGGTAGGTGCTTAATAATAATAAAAAATAAAAAAATAAAAACATGCTAAGCAAATGAAATGAGTAATCCAGTCCTTAGTCTATACATTCTTAGTGAACAACAGCAAATTACAATGTCCCTGGGTCTATTCATAGAACAAATATTTATTGAGCAGTTACTATGTGCTGCACACTATGCTAGAATTTTAGACACTGTTTGCTCCTAAAGGAGACACTGAAAAGTCTGTACCCCCTCCGCATGGCTTCCAATACACGGCTACTTCCACTCTGGGCTGGCAGGTGGATCTGTTTACAGATGTTGTCTCTCTCGTGAATCAGCTGCAGAACCTGGCCAAACAGAACACAGTAAAGGTCATCAAAGTCTCATCAAAGAATCTTACAGAAAGGAATACCATCCCCTCTGTCCTTTGCCAAAGTTAATTTTCAAGTAATTAAGAGGCTAATTAACCGAACTTATGAATTACCCAAATGCTTTGCTTTTGCTCAAACCGGGTTGTGTCTGTCCCAGACACAAATGCTTAGGATACTGATAGCAGTTTGGCACAGTTAACTGTCAACACTTGCCTCATCAGGAAAATCCTTGGGGTGGGGAGAAGTAAAACGAATCCGCATTTCAGGGTCTATTCTGGAGACCTGATCCAGCAGGTGAGCAAAACGAAGGCCCCCTTGCTTGGTTTTATAGTTGGTGGAGAAACCACGGCTGAGGTTGGTGGACACAGCATTGTTGAACTGGATCTCTGAATTGTCCCGATAACTATTAACATTCTGACCAAGTAGTGTCACTTCTTTCAGCCCCTGAAAAGTGGGAAATAAATATTTTGGGAGCAATTTAAAATAGTTTGATAGCTTCATGCCATTAAAACTAAAATTCGCTGTGTCATGATGTTAACTTTAAAAAACAGGATACACTAAAAGCAATGTGGATCCTGGATTGGATCCTGAAAAAGAAAAATTACATCAGTGGGGAAAGTGGCAAAATCAGGGAAAAATTCTAAAGTTAGTTAGTTAATAGTAATGTACCATATTTGGTACATTTTAGTTTTGACAAATGTACCAAAGTTAAATTAGATGTTAACATTTAGAGGTAACTCTATCTTTGCAACTTTTGTATAAATTTAAAGTTATCCCAAAACTTTATTTTAAAAAGTTTATTAAAACAAACAAAGCAGGATATTAAACTAAGTAAAATGCACACATATATAAAAAGGCATAACAATCAAATACAAAGAGTTACCGGACAATTAAGAAAATCTGAGTATGAGTGGGCTAGGATTAAGATGATAGTTAGCAATCTTGTTAATCTCATTAGAAGAATTAATGGTAATAAAAATTTCCTTATTTTTTAAAAATGTATTAACTTAAGAATGAAATGTTATGCTACTCTTTGAAATACTTTATCAACAACAACAAAAATAGGTAAGGCAATTATGGCAAAATGTAACGATTATTGCATTTAAGTGAGCCCTGGCCAGGTGATTCTGTTGGAGCCTCATCCCACGCATCAAAAGGCTGTGGGTTTGGCCCGGGCTCACTTAAATACCTAGGTTTCAGGTTCAATCCCCGGTTGGGTGGCAAACAGGAAGCAAATGATCTGTTTCTCTCTCACATTGATGTTTTTCTCTCTTTCTCTTTTTCTTCCTCTCTCCCTAAAATCAATGAAAACATATTCTCAGGTGAGGAATTTTTTTTAATAAAATTACATTTAAAAATTTAAGTGACTGTTAGCTAGGGAAAGGGGTCACAATAGTATTCTCTCTTTCCTGTGTATTTAATTTTTTTTCATATAAAAAGATAATAAAGAGGCTTAAAAAAGGCTGCTTACTTAAATGACTTTCAATCAATAACCATTGTTTGAATGAATAAACAACATTCTGTTAAAGGAAAATATTCTATTCTCTTTGTAACTGTAGTCTAAAAAATCTAAATGAAAGACACATCTTTTTAAAAGTTACTCTAGGCCTGGACAGTTTAGTTCAGTGGTTAGAGCATCAGCCCAAGGACCAAGGGGTCTTGGGTTCGATTCTCGGTCAAGAGCACATGTCTCAGTTACAGGTTTGATCCCCTGCCAGGGCATGTCAGGGAGGCAACCAATTGATGTCTCTCTCTCTCCCTCTCTCCCCATCATCCCTTTCACTCTAAAAAAAAAAAAAAAAAAAAAAATCAATGGGAAAAATATCCTCAGGTGTGAATTAAAAAAAACAACACTCGCCGAAACCAGTTTGGCTCAGCGGATAGAGCGTCAGACTGAGGACTGAAGGGTCCCAGGTTCAATTCTGGTCAAGGGCACATACATTGGTTTCGGGCACATCCCCAGTGGGGGGTGTGCAGGAGGAAGTTGATCGATGTTTCTGGCTCTCTATCCCTCTCCCTTCCTCTCTGTAAAAAATCAATAAAATATATTTTTTTAAAAACACTCTATAAGTAAAATAAATAAGTGATTAACAGATCCTTTAAAACATAACGCAGAATCATAGTTTTCCACAAGTTAGTGAGCTTTGAGTTCACTAAGTTCACTTTAATGTTAAGTTCCTTTTGTTATATGCTAATATCTTAGAAAGGCTAGGGAGTTTTTGTCATCACCTCAGTTTACTGAAATAGAATTTCGCTGTCTTGAGCGAGTGAGTTTGGTAGTGTGGAGTAGATGGGAGAGGAGAGGAAGGAGACAACTTCAGACCAGGAAGCACTTATAGAGGTAGTGTACAGGGAACAGCTTACAGTACCTGTGTGAGCAGTCAGAGAATAAACTACAAAAACTGAGAATTTGGGGAAGGGGGGAAAAAGAAAGCACTGCCAGAGAATAAGAAAGAAGGCAAACTGCTGACAGAACTGAAGGAGGGGCTAGCCTCCCTTGTCCTGAACCAACCAAGTCAGGAAACAGAGGCTCCAGCAGAAGAAAAACTCCACTTTCCCACCTACTGTCTATTCTGCACAGCTGGGAGGTTTGGGCCTAGGGCTGAGGAGTGACCTCTTCAAGGGCTGAGGGATCAGCTCCCAATAGGAGGAAGGAAGCAGGATCTTCCATCTAGCCTTTGATCTGATTCACTAGCCTCATCTATTCTCTGCAAGCTGGCCCAGTGGTAACATGAACAAAAGATATGGGAGGTTCCCATAGAATAGACAAATCAAAAAATCATTCTGTAAAAAATTACTATGTGCCAGGTAGTTTAAAAACATCTAAACTACCATATCCTTCCAGTAGCAATCCTTTCAATAATCTGGCAAGAAAGGTATTATTTTATTCTTTTTCATAGATGGGGAAACAGTTTCAAAGAAGGTAGTTAAATGACCAGTGCCCGGGCACCAAGCCAGAGAACAGTGGAGTCAGAATTCAACTTAATCATCTGATTCTAAACTCATGCTCTCATACTCTCTCCAATCTTTTATGTTGACTCCTAAGAAAATTGACAGTGGATCTGCCTATAATTTGTGGCATCAAACCAAAGATGCACACCCATGTATTCTCTCTGGCCAGGTACGGTTTTAAACTTGTACAGCTTAAAAATAGCACAGGCTGGGAAACTAGAAAGTTGTCCTCATCCTTCCATACACACACTCTCAGGGAGGAAGTCTGGGGAACTTTTCACCTGCTCGGAAAGCTTCCTCACTTCCTCTAGAATGGAGGCGACAGGCCGACTCCTCTCCCGGCCACGCGTGAAAGGAACAATGCAGTAGCTGCACATGTTGTCACAGCCTCTCATGATAGACCTGGCGGGAAAGAACAGAACTTAGGAACAGCAGCAGAATGTCTTGGTCCAACTCAAGGAACAGGTCATAATTTCCTTGGTTATTCTCCTTTGGCTCTAAATTCTCTTGACAATGTACTCACACTGGACCAATATGAGATCTAAGGAAACTAAGGCAGACATTTTTTGATCTTTAAAAACTATTCTTTAGCCGAAACCGGTTTGGATCAGTGGATAGAGAGTCAGCCTGCAGACTGAAGGGTCCCAGCCAAGTTAAGTCATTTTCTTTCATTTGCATCCTGTATAATGAAAGCCTCAATTGATTGTAAGGAAATAATTACTAGTATGTATCAAAGATGTTCATTGAAGAATTGTTAAATAAATGTTAGTGATTATTTTTATTAAGCATTCTAACAATGGAGTACTGTTTAGCCATTAAAATGAAAATGGTTGCCAAAACCTGTTTGGCTCGGTTGATGGAGCTCCAGCCTGCGGATTGGGAGGTCCTGGGTTTGTTTCCAGTCAACGGCATGTACCTCAGTTGTGGGCACATCCCCAGTGGGAGGTGTGCAGGAGGCGGCTGGTCGATGATTCTCTCTCATCAATGTTTCTAGCTCTCTATCCCTCTTCCTTCCTCTCCATGAAGAATAAAATATTTTTTTTTTAAATGAAAATGGTTGGTAAACTTTTTCTGCAAAAAAGTATTTAGTAAATATTTTAGGCTTTGCAGACCATACAATCTCTGCTACATACTCAATTCTGCTGTTACAGTGGTGAAAGCAGCCACACACCAAATGGGCACAGCTGTTATTTCAATAAAACTTTATTTATTAAACAGGTTGTAAGCCAATTTGCCAAACTCTGTTAGAGAAAATATAATGACATAAGAAATGTTCACCGCTTTAAATAACAAAAGGTTATAAAACCACCTGGCAGGCATGGCTCAGTGTTTGAGCATAGACCTAACCAGGTGGTCACGATTCGATTCCCAGTCAGGGCATATGCCTGGGTTTTGGGTTTGATCCCCAGTGTGTGGCATGCAGGAAGCAGCCAATCAATGATTCTTTCTAATCATTGATGTTTCTATCTCTCTCTCCCTCTTCTTTCTTCTCTGAAATCAATAAAAATATTTTTTAAGTTATAAAACCAATTCTACAAAGAGCCATTTTTTTTATGAACAAACACATAAGCAAAGCATATACACATAAGCACAAAGGACAGGAGAGCAATGATATACATCAAAATGATAATAGTGTTTATCATTAGGTAGTAGAGGTAGTTAATTCTTACTTTCTTCTTTATGTTTTTCTCTTTTCCACATTTTCTTCAACAAATATATACTATTTTGTCAATTACTCTTTTTAACTTTAAAGATCAGGAAAGAGGGAAAAAAAATCAGGAAAGCCTATGTGATAAAATAAAAGTATAGAAGGGAGGGTAGGAAAGACCTCATTTTATGTATACGAATACATATTTGAAAAACACTTCTCACTGTATCTGGTTTGACTCAGTTGATAGCCTGCAGACTGAAGGGTCCTGGGTAAGATTCTGGTCAGCAGCACCTCCTGGTTTCAGCTTGATCTCCACCCCTGGTTGGGGAATATGAAGGAGGCAACTAATCGATGTGTCTCTCTCCCTCCTTTCCACTCTCTAAAAAAATCAATGCAAAAATATCCTCAGGTGAAAATTAAAAATTTTAAAAAAACACTTCTCAAAGAATTATACAAGAAACTACTAGCATGCCCCCTCTGCAATGTGTCTAGGAGACTGGGAGATGAACGGTAGGAGGAAATATTATACATCATTTTTTGTCTTTTATACTGTGTGTGTGCATTACAGTTTTTTTACGTTTTCATTCATTTTTTTAGACAGAGAAAGAGAGAAAGAGAGAGAGAAACAATGATTGGCTCCTCCTGCACACCTCCTACTGGGAATCAAGATTGCAACCTGGGCATGTGCGCTGACCGGGAACTGAACCAGTGACCTCTTAGTGCATTGGATGACACTCAACCAATTGGGTCACACCGTCCAGAGCTTAATTTTTTTTTTAATGTAATAACATTTACATGTTATTTTTATTTTTTATCCTCACCCAAGAATATTTTTCCATTGATTTTTTTTTTTTTTTTTTTTTTTTTTTTTTTTTAGAAAGAATGGAAGAGAGAGGAACAATAGAGAGAAACATCGATGTGAGAGAAACACATTGATTGATTGCTTCTTGCACAAACCCCAATCGGGTCCTGAGCCAGAGAGGAGCCTGCAACCAAAGTACATTACCTTGACAGGAATCAAACCTGGGACCCGTTGGTCCACATGCCGATGCTCTATTCACTGAGCCAACTGGCTAGGACAACATATTATTTTTAAAGTGAGAAAGAAGTTTACTCCGTCTCTTGGTCAATGACTCACACAAAAGCAGAAGTAGCACTGGGGCTCGTCTGGACTGGCATGACATCAGCATAGGTCTCATCCAGAGAAAGCAGCACGTTGGCAGCTTGCTGGCCTGACTCAGCAACAGTCAGCAGCCGAGGAAGGTCCCGATAGGCATCTGGACCAGCCAAAATATCCACCATTTTCTCCCTATTGAGGATCTCCTCCTTCAGTCTCTCAGCCATGCAACCTGGGAGGGAAAAGAAATAAGCACCTGTTCCCAAATTCACTGGGTCTCCTGGCTTCTCACTACACATTGTCTCCAGCTGGATTAGAGGCCAGGGCACAGACATTAAGTACAAGAGTTGCATGAGGTATATAAGATTTCTTCACACACCGGGAATCTGGCCTCTAAGAGAAACCCTAGTATATAAAGCCACATGGAGCCCAAGTCTCAAAACCCACAAAATCTGCAAATTGCCAGATACCTAGAATCCCAATCTTCAGAGGTCCTCGGGAGCGGAGCCGTTTTGTCTTCAGGGCTTTAAGCTGATGCAAACGATTCCAGATGGTTTGTTCAGCCTTCTCCCTACAGAGACCAAGAGGTAAACCTGCAAATAAACTACATAGAAATCTAAAAGGGTAGGACAATGGGAATAAAATAAAAACCTTCAACGCTTTAAATGAATAACCAACCTAAAGGTTTAGGGAAGGTAGGCAGGGAGCTAACTAAAGAAGCACCATTTGCTATAACATTCCCAGAATAACGCCCTTCCTGCCCATCTCCAATTCCTGACAAGGCTTTAAGCCAAACTCAGAAACAATCTACTTCACAAAGCCTTCCCCGATGCTGTTGGAGAGTTTACCCTCCTTCCTTTTAACTACTCTATCATTTTAACTATATTTTCCCAGTACTTAGCATTTATCCTTTCTATTTTTTATTTTTATTTTTTTACCTAGTGCTTTTCACCAAATGTTAGAGCTACTTATATATTTATCTTAATTCCCATATGAGACTAAGCTCCTAGGCTCCATATGAAGGAAGAGGTCATTTCTGAATCTCCCAAAATACCTAGTTCTGTGTCTTGTAGCAGAAACAACTCTCTGAACAAAAATGTTGGATTAATTGATGGTATACCCAGTTGAGAAAATATTAAGAATAACATGCCTTGCCAGGACCGGTTTGGCTCAATGGATAGAGCGTCGGCTTGGGGACTGAAGGGCCCCGGGTTCGATTCCGGTCAAGGGCATGTACCTCGGTTGCGGGCATATCCCCAGTAGGGGGTGTGCAAGAGGCAACTGATCAATGACTCTCTCTCATTGATGTTTCAAACTCTCTATCTCTCTCCCTTCCACTCTGTACAAAAATCAATAAAATATATATTAAAAAAGAATAACATGCCTTGTACATAGAAACAATGTATGAAAGATGTTATGTTCACCTCTAATGGATACCACTCACGTGTGTTCAGAAGAACTCAGTCCTCCAGCCACTAACTGCATCCTAACCCTTACAATGCGAACATCATAAACATGTGCCATTAGCCACAAGAAAAACCTTAGGAAAAGTTGGGTGACTCAGCATACTCTCAGTTTCCTCATCTATATAATGACTTTGATAACATCACCTAACCCACAGAGTTGTCGTGAGAATTAAATTACTTAGTGCATGTAGGGTATAGTGCTCAGCACAGGACCTGACAAACAGCACATGCTCAGCAAATGCCAACTAGTTCTATCATTACTGTCTCCAATGCATAAAATTGCAAAGCCATTGGCTCATCTCCACAGGTAGGACAGCTTGGCACTGTTAACTCTGGCATCCTATATAACAAAAGGCTAGTATGCAAATCAACTGAACTGTGGAACTACTGGTCGCTATGATGCACACTGACCACCAGGAGGCACACGCTCAATGCAGCAGCTGCCCCCTGGTGGTCAGTGCACTCCTACAGGGGAAGCGCCACTCAACCAGAAGCCCTGAGCCAGGCTCATGGCTGGCAAGCGCAGCAGCGGTAACAGGAGCCTCTCCTGCCTCTGCGGTAGCACTAAGGGCTAAGGATATCCAACTGCCAGCAGAGGCCCGCTCCCCGAAGGGCACAGGTCTAAACCATCAGTCAGACATCTCCCAAGGGCTCCCAGACTGCAAGAGGGAGCAGTCCAGGCTAAGGGACTTCCCCTCTCCCACAGAGTGCATGAATTTCGTGCACCGGGCCTCTAGTTATTATATAAAATATATTAACTCTATAGGTAAAGAACAAATTCCCACCTGATAGAGCAAGTGACAAGGAGGATCACATCAGCCTGCATAAAGAGCAAGGGGAAAAAAGAAAATTATGAAATTAGGCTTGTAGAATCACTACCCGTGACCTTTTTTTTTTTTTCCTGCTTATAAACTTTTATGCAAAATATACTTTTAAGGAAATGTAAAAATCTGAGTACTTCAACATCGGTGAAAATGAAGTACCATTAACAGATATACAATTTCTGCTTTTGGTGATAAAAAAAAGCTTTGGAATTAGGTAGTGGTCATGGTTATACAACATTGTGAATATTATTAATACCACTGCATTGTACATTTAAAAATAATTAATGTATGCAAAAGTCAATTCACTACATTATACACCTGAAACTATTATAGTATCTTTTAAAAAAAAAAAAAAGGAAAAAAATGAACTACATAGTAATGCCATGATAACTGGGCTTATTAAGAAACAAAAAAAAAAAGAAAGAAAGAAAGAAAAAGAAACCAAAATCTGCCCTACCCAGTTTGACTCCATGGATGGAGTGTTAGCCTGCAGACACAAGGGTTCCCAGGTTTGATTCTGTTCAAGGGCAGATGCCTGGGTTGTGGGCTCGATCCCAGACAATCAGTGATTCCCTCTCATCAATGATGTTTCTATCTCTCTCTTCCTCTCCCTTCCTCTCTGAAATCAATTAAAAAGCCAAATCTAGCAACTTCCAAAATGTTAGGTTAAAGATTTATCTGAAATCCATGTGTTTTGACGTGGTATTAGATTTTATTTTCCACATACTAAACAAATATCTTTTATTGTGGAAAAACATTCATTACATTTACCATTTTAACCAGTTTTAAGTATACAGTTCAATAGCATTAAATACATCCACCTTTTTATGTAATTATCACCATCAACCTTCCAGAACTAAAACTCAGTACTCATCAAACACTAATTCCCAACCCTGCCCCTGCAGTCTATTTTTAACTTAGTTCCTTGCCTGAAAGTGAGCATCACCATAAAATTTTCAAAAATAATGAAACAAATGTACACATTAGTCCCATTCTACATACTTTACTCAAAAGAACTCAGTCTCACCAGGCCATACCCCATTCCTGAAACTGCATCTACAAATTGGCACAAATGTAGAGTTTAGCGTAGATGTAGGAAACAGGGAAACAGGCAAAACGTGTACCTCTTGGAGATTACTGGTCCGCAGGTAGCCACTCTTCTGTAAGATGGACCAGGCTATCTCTGTGTCATTCACATTCATCTGGCAGCCATAGGTCTCAAGGTAGACTGCAATGAGAAGGAGAGTCCATGGTAGGCAGACAAAAAGGGATCATATGTCTCAAAGGTCTCCTTCCCAAATGTCTCAGAAATATTTGACACAACTGGTTATCCACCAAGTCCTCTGCTGCCTCAATTCTAAGACACCATTAATTACCAGATGTATCACCAAATTAATGACAGCTTTTCAGAACAAAAGAAATACTACATTATTTAAATACACACACCAAATATAGGCCATGTCACTTAAAATTTTGGGAAAACATGCACCTAAGTATCAGGAAATCTACCTATATATATAAAAACCTAAGCAACTATTCGATAGCTACACACACTGACCACCAGGGAGCAGACACTCAACACACAGGCAGGGAAACATGGAACAGACTGATGAATCTCAGAGGGAAGGGGGGAGGGCAGGAAGAGATTAACCAAAGATCTTATATGAGGCCTGGTACACGGATTCGTGCACCGGTGGGGTTCCTTGGCCTGGCCTGCTGGGATCAGGCTAAAACCGGCAGTCTGACATCCCCCGAGGGGTCCCAGATTGCGAGAGGGTACAGGCCAGGCCAAGGGACCCCACCAGTGCCTGGGGGCCTCTAGTATGGTTATAAAAACAATCAGAAAAGCAGGGATTAGCTGACAGCATTGATTATCAACCTTGAAGAAAAACACATTTAAATCTACACATAGCCCTGACTAGGTAGCTCACTTGATTAGAGCATCATCCCAATATATCATGGTCAAGAATCAAGCAATGAATGCATAAATAAGTGGAACAACAATAACCAGATGTCTGACAAACAGAGACGATAGATAGATAGATAGATAGATAGATAGATAGATAGATAGATAGATAGATAGTTGTAGATATAGAAATTTGGAAGCAACCTAATGTCCAACTATAGGGGACAGGTTGAGAAACATCATGGTATAAAACAAATGTGATATTTTGTACTAATGTTTTAAAATTTAATTATAAATAATGTAGTTTGGGAGAAAATGTTCAATGAAAACAAATTAAAAATAATTTTCACCTTATGATTGCAACCAAATATTTAAGAATTATAAAGGGAAATAGTTTTTTGAAACAGAGCAAGGGGTGAAAGGTCTGATTATCCCTTAATTTCTCTTCAAACTTTTTTAAAGTATTTATCTGATTGTATAATGTTTCTAAGGAAACATCTGCCTAAATATAAAGAGTGAATTTCTACAGTAACAATTGTGAAAGCTGCCTTATAACTTAAGACAATCTAAAAATTAGAACAGAAAGTACAGGATTTCCAAAGGTAACCAAAGAGAGGACTACCCAGGACTCTATGCCCCAGTTGTGTGCACCGTAAGTTCCTTCATATTAATGTTACTGGGTGGAGTTTAATGATTCCCTAACTTAGCAAGCCTTCCCACACTGTTAAACTTCCAAAGCCAGGTATGTAATAAAGAACTGTTAAGAATCAGGCCATGGATGCTGGAAAAGAGCAAAACAGAAAGCCCAAAGGAGACAAAAATAAAAATAAAACCAACCTTTTCTCTGCCTTCCTAAAAGTTCATCTACTGTGAGATATGGGGGTGGGTCCTCCACGTCCTCAGAAGCCGGCTTCTCCTGAGGAGCTGAAGCACTTCTTAAAAAATGCTGAAACGTTGGTCCAGTAGCCAGCCTGGAGCTGAAATCCTTCCGCGCTCCATCCTCCTGCCGCCCCTCTGGACTGGGACGTGCGGTGCCGGAGAAATTGCTGTGTGCCCTGCAGGTCCGGGATAGCAGCCAGGACACAGAGGCCAAGGGCCCCCACCCCAGACACCTCTGTGCGTGGAGGATGCACTGTAAATGATGCATGGCACTAAAACAGCTCAAAGTCTGCAAAAAATAACAGACATCATCAACATTTATTGAACACAATGCACAGGGCACTACTCTAAGTACCTCAAGTAGCTAATACCTTTAACAATAGTATCCCTATTTTACAGGTGAACACTGAGGCAGCTTGCTCAAAATCACACAGAGGAATGCCAGAGATGAGATGCAAATCCAGGCAGTGTATTTTCAGAACAAAGGGGTGGGAGAAATGAGATGAAAAGCCCTGACAAAATAAATTCCAAAGGCTTTAAGCATATTTACTCATTAAGTCTTCACAGCAATCCTAAGCAACACAGTAGGTTAGCACTGTTCCCGCCTAAAGTATTAGCAGCATATACAGCAGGAGCAGTGCTAACCTATAATACTTTCAAGTGTCAGAGAACAGCAGACTTTTAGTGTGAGCCTTGAAGTCACCAATTTCTGCCCCTTACTGAGATACCTTGGGTAAGTCAAATTCCTGCCTCTGAACTGTAAAAGAATAAAAGTAGTACCTACCTCCCAGAGGTGATGTGAGCATTAAAGGAGATTTTTAAAAACCCAGCTTGGCACACGGTAAGTGTTCAGTAACCACATCTGCAGCCCACATCCCCTCTCGTGGTGGATATAGAGCCGTGGTCGGCAAACTGCGGCTCTTTGGCTCCTTGAGAGTGGCTCTTCCACAAAATACCCCAGCCTGGGCGAGTCTGTTTTGAAGAAGTGGCATTAGAATAGGTTTAAGTTTTTAAAAATTGGCTCTCAAAAGAAATTTCAATTGTTGTACTGTTGATATTTGGCTCTGTTGACTAATGAGTTTGCCGACCACTGCTCTGGGTGCTTCCATTTCTTCGCGTGTGAAATAGGGGTAACAGAACTACCTCTATGTCTGTTGCAAGGATCAAATGTGATACTACACATACACTGTTTGCATAGCACAATAAGGGGCTCGGAAATTAATTGGTAGTCGGCAAAAAAACACGAGACAACAGCCTCGTCTCAGTTTATATAAACAAAAACAATAAAGCATCCCAAACATTTTATTGGGTGGTTACAATGCGGCGCCAAGCGTGTCCCATTGATCACCGTATTCAATCGTCACCGCAACTCTTCGAGGCAGGTTCTAGTATCATCCCCACGTCACAGGTGACAGAGCCAAGGCTCAGGGTGGAGAAGGGTGACCTGCCTAAGGTCACAACGAGTAGGCAGCGGTACTGGGGTGTGAACCCCGACAGTCTGACACCAGGGTCTGCACCGGGACCAGCAAGCCATCCTCCCCGCGAACACCGCGCATTTCGGAGCCCCCGCACCCCTCCTGCCGCCGCGCGGGTGCGCAGCGCACCTTCCCCCAGCGCCGCTCACCTCCCGCACCTGGAGCGCCAGGTTCCCGGCGAAAGTTCTCTTGACAGCTGCCTGCGCACGCGCAACTTCCGTTCCGACGCGACTTCCGTCCGGGTGGTTCCAACGGAAGTGCCTCCTCCGAAAGGTCCGGGTGGGTCCAGGCTCCTCGCTTTGAAAAACCTCCCCAACTCGCTCGGTGAACCTTACGATCCCCAGTAGCGGGCGTGCGGCCACTGAGCGCTTAAAACGTGGTGAATGCGAGTTAAATGGGCTCTAAATGTCGAACTAATAAAGCAAGACGTCTCCTCTTTTTGTAGATATGTATGTTTTTATTGATTTCAGAGAGACGAAGGGAGAGAAACATCACTGATGGGAGAGAATCGTTAATGGGCTGCTCCCTGCAAGCCCCCCAACTGGGGATCTAGCCCCCAACCCCGCCTGTGCCCGAAGGGGAAATCAACCGTGACCTACTGATTCAACCAGAGCAATACCTGCCAGCCTCTTTTTGCTTTTTAATGTGGCTACTGGGAATTTTTAAAAAACATAGGTGGCTCACATTCTATTCCGGTTGCACAACGCTGCCCTATAGGTTAAAGAATTCCGGATTCACGTCTCCAATCTGCACCCCAGCTGGAGTTACAGATCCATACATAGTTCAGCTATCTAAGTGGTACCTGTCTAATGACCATCTTTAATGCAGAACTCTTCATTTTCACACACACACATCCTTACCTAAAACCTGTTCCTGCCCAATCTGACCATCTCAGTGAATGACCCAAGCATCCTCCCAGTTGCACTAGATCTATTAGTGACTAGGAGAAACTGAAGAGTCATTTTGTTCCCTTTCCCTCAATCCCTCATTAAGTCCTCCCGTCAGCTCTAACTCAAAAATGTTTCAAAACTGTCCACTTCCCATTTTTCTATTCTGCCCTTGCTCTTGTTTCCTACAGTCTATTTTCCACACAGAGCCTAAGAGGGTTTATTTGTTTGTTTTGTTAACTCAGATCACATCACTCCTAGGCTGAAAACTCAAGGTGACTTGGAAAAAAAAAAAAATCAGGTTTCCTCTTGTGTCCTAGGAACTGCATGGTCTGGCCTCTGTTTACTTTTACTTCTTCAACCAATTCTTATTACTTCTAGCATGTTCTGTCTAGATGACTAAACTGCAGCTACATAATTTTATTTTATTCCTTCAATATCCCAAGTACATGTTTATATCAGAGCCTTAGTATTTACTATGCTCTTTCTGGAATGTTCTCCTGAAATGTTTAATGGCTGTCTCCTTCTCATCTTTCATGTTTCAACTTAAATATCATTTATTCAGAGAGGCCTTCTCTAACAACCCATATACACTGTTCCTGTCACTATCACATCATTTTCTTCACAATACTTATCAATATGCAAAATAAGCATTTTGGTTTTTTTGTGTGTGTGTGTGTGTTTGTTTTTTTTTTTGGGGGGGGGGGTTGTTTTTTAGTTGTTTGCCTAATTCCCAGACTTTTAGCTCCTTGAGAGCAGGAACACATTCTGTCTTGTTCACTGTAGTATCCTCAGGCTGTAGTCCAGAGTCTAGTTCAATGAAGGGCTTAACAAATATTTGTTGAATAAATAAATGATTGTTTTATGTCTTCACCTGGGTTCCCCCGAAGCAGACCCTAAGACACAGATTTGAATGCAGGTAGGTAATCTCAGGAAACACTGATGGAGTAGTCATGGAATGAGACAAAGTAAGGGAGGCAGCCAAAGCCAATCTGATGCCAAAGCACTATTCTTACTAATTCAAGAGTCAGACTGGTTGGATTCCCATTGAGGTTCTGATGCTTACCATTATAGCCATGGCCAAGTTAGTTATCCCTACTGACTGACTCCCAGTTTCATTGCCTAAAAACTGGCTGCTGTGTGGAGAATACACTGCATTGGGAGTGGGAGCGGGAACAAATCAGGAGAGCATTTAGGGAGCTGTGCAGTTGTCCAGAGTGTGGAGTCCTGGACCAGTGTGGTGGCTGGGTGCCATGAGGATGATGGAAACAAACCTGGATTTCAGGAATTTGAGCATACTGCAAAAATTTTACATGAGGTGGGGCGGACACTGGATGGAGAGCCCACAAAGGGAGAAAATTGGAGACATCTGTAATACTGTCGACAATAAAATAAATATATTTTTAAAGTTTACACTGTGTTCTTAGAAGGTTGCTGGGTGCCAATTCGATCAAATATACAAAAGGCAAACACAGGCCAAAAATTGTATTATGGTTCTTGTTTTATACTGTGGTTCTCCAGATAATTAAAGATGTGATCGAGTTGTTCAGTGGAATTATCAGCACCATGAAAGTTTAAAGTATCAGAATTCCTCCTGAAAAAGTCTGAAACTCTAGAGACAAGTTCCTGGACACCCTGGGATCTAAAGTTTCCCAGTGGAGAAATATTCAGGTTTACTGTCGAATTTTGTACTGCACAGGAAAGATGTCCTGTCCTAATTTGGTCAGGGGGGAGCCCCATTATGGTGGCAGCACCTACATCCTAAAATAAGTTATGTTGAGGGTATTAGCCTCCCACCCACCACAGAGAGGGAAGAAAATATTCCTTCTTCTTCCCTGATGACCCCCTAGCATTGAGCTTGTCCTTCCAGGCATAGCAATTTCCATATTTTTCACCATGGCTCTTCCCTCTTTATTCTCAGTCTTGTCTTCTTAAAATCACAGAAGAGAGGAATTCTAGAACAGAGAAAGCCACTTTTAGAGTTTCCAATGCAGAACTCAGGGAGGATTTGAACCCAGGTCTCCTGGCTTCTTAGAACTCTGTTCTTTCAAATCTGGACCTTCTGCTAGCAGTCTCATGGGAAGGTTCACCTTCTCCCTTTGTGGCCAGAGCAGGAGGCAGCCTGTCAGAGGATGTTAGAGCTACTCTTTACCAGCTCTAATTACTCCTGGGCAAATAGGGCAATATGAGGGGTGTTCTTTGGTGCCTATTATGCTGTCTCCCCACACACACACACTACACATAGAATACACACACACACACACACACACACACACACACACACCATTCCCAACATCTCTGTTATCCTTCCCCCAACACATACTAACCCATATGGGGGGAGGGACCATTGCCCATCATCACTCACCACATTCCAACCACTAAGGTCCACTTTCAGTAGCCATGTTGTGGAAGTGTAGTGCCTTGAGCAGTGAAGGTGATGAAAAATAAATCCTTCACCAGGTGTTTGGGAGTGCCATGTTCCATCCCACCTTGGGATCTGTCCCCTGGGATGCTATCACCCCTTCCACCTGACTAACTCCTACAGGTTGATGATGGTTCTAATTGCTACTGGGCAATTACTCCTCCCCCCTGCTGTTAAGCTTGGCCACATGACTTGTTTTGGCCAATGAAGTAAGAGTAGATATAATGCAGACAGAGACAGAGGATGTAAATGTGCTTGTGCAATGTGCTTGTCTTTGAACTTGCCATGAGAAGAGCCTGCCCTGAGAGCTTATGCTGGGCTCCAAAAGGAATGAACATAGAATAGACTGAAACCAACTCACAACCTGGACCAAAACCAGCCAGCCAAACCCAGCTCCCAAGAGTCAAACTGCAGTCAATGTGCAGTCTCAAAAGCATGAAAGCAAATGCCTGTTGCCATGGCCACTGAGATTAGGTTGTTTCTTCCACAGTATTATTGCAGTAGTAGCTGATCTTTAACATGCTCCTTCAGAATGACATCAGCTTCAGGTCTCCTGAAACCTACTCTCACCTCCAAGCAGGTCAGATCCCCACTGGCCTCTCTGCTAGCTCCATGTGTCTGCCCAATCACATCTGATTCTGAGAGCTTCTGCTGACTTACTTTCCCCTGCACATGGGAACGTGTCAGTCTGGCTACCAGAAAAGCAGCTCCTGGCTCCAAGGACAAGAACAAAGTAGGTGAGCACTAGATATTTCTTGAATGAAGGGTGGATTAATAATCCGACCGTTGTGGGTCAGTGGTTGAGTGAGAGGTCACTGGTTCAATTTCTGGTTAGGGCACATGCCCGGGTTTCAGGCTTGATCCCCAATATGGGGTGTGCAGGAGACAGACAATCAATGTTTCTATCTCTCTATCCCTTTCCCTTCCCCTCTCTCTCTAAAATCAATAAAAACATTTTTATTGATTTTCTACAGAGAGGAAGGTAGAGGGATAGAGAGTTAGAAACATCCATGAGAGAGAGAGACATTGATCAGCTGCCTCCTGCACACCTCCCACTGGGGATGTGCCTGCAACCAAGGTACATGCCCTTGACCAGAATCGAACCTGGGACCTTTCAGTATGAAGGCCGATACTCTATCCACTGAGCCAAACCGGTTTCGGCAATAAAAACATTTTTTTAAAAGATCGATAAGCAGATGGGAGGATGATGGGCAAGGCTGGAGTATCTCTGCTTACCTGCATTTCCCCAGGTTCCTAGAATCAGCTCTGTTTCTGGCTTGTTATATGACTTAATGTGGGCCTTGGTTTCCTTTTGTAGAGGTTTGACTAGAACTGCTAAGCCTAATACAATAGCCTCTAGACATAAGTGACTATTGAGCACTTGATATGCAGCTAGTGTGAAAGAGGAACTGAATTTAAGTAAATTTTAATATAAAAACTGATAAGAACGAATTAGATATGTGAATCTACTTTTTTTAACTGTAAATTTTATGAAATCTAAATACAAATTAAGTATTTCCTATGAGAATTTGGCATCTGAGATGTGTGTGCCCTAGCCAGTTTGACTCAGTGGATAGAGCATTGGCCTGCAGATCGAAGGACCCCAGGTTTGATTCCAGTTAAAGGCATGTACCTCGGTTGCAGGGTCTTCTCGGCCTGGGCACTGGTCAGGTCTCATGTATTGTAGGAGGCAACTAATCGATGTGCTTCTCTCATATCGATGTTTCTCTTTGTCCTTCCCTCTCTTTTTTACTCTTTCTAAAAATCAATGGGAAAATATCCTGGGGTGAGGATTAAATAAATAAATAAATAAATAATGTATAAGTGTAAAATATACACCAGATTTCAAAGACAATATGAGGGGAAATCGTAAAACACTTCATTCATAAATTTTTACATTATATGTTGAAGTGATAATATTTTAGACTTATTGGGTTAAATTAAATATATTGTTACATTTATTTTCATCTATTTTTTTACTTTTTCTAGTACTAGAAAATTTGCAATTAAATTTGCAATTAAAAACGGCTTACATTACGTTTTTAATGGATTGTGCAGGGCCAGAAAGTTTAAGGTGAACAAGGGTTTGAAGTCAAAAAGATCTACATTGAAAACTCAAGCTCAGCCGAAACTGGTTTGGCTCAGTGGATAGAGCGTCGGCTTGGGGACTGAAAGGTCCAGGGTTCGATTCCGGTCAAAGGCATGTACCTTGGTTGCGGGCACATCCCCAGTAGGGGGTGTGCAAGAGGCAGCTGATTGATGTTTCTCTCACATCGTTGTTTCTAACTCTTTATCCCTCTCTCTTCCTCTCTGTAAAAAATCAATAAAATATATTTTTAAAAAAAAAAAAAAGAAAGAAAAGAAAACTCAAGCTCAGACATGTCATAGCTGCATGACTTTGGGCAAGTCTCTCCCGCCATCTGAGTCCCAGTTTCCTTACTTGTCAAATAGAGATCGCTGTTCCTACCACAAAGATGTGTGAGGAGGATCTGGGGAGAAAATATATGTGCATTGTCTGGCAGATAGCAGCTACTTTTTAAATGTAAGCCTTCATTGCTGTTGTCTCTGTGATTTTCTGGACAATGCAAGCAAGTAGGTTGTTAAAAACATGGCAAAAACTCATATCCAGCCAGCACAGTACAGCTTCCAAAGAATGTTCCACTAAGCGGTTCCAAGTGTCCTCCCTCCTGCAGGAAAGGGGCTTGTGACTCTCTATGATGATGTTGAAATAGGTCCACAAAGTTACTGACATTCTTTTCTTCAAGTGGTGGAAACTAGCCTGGCCGTAGCTCATCGTCCAGGATAGAGCATCGTCCCAATCCCAAGGCATATATTGTACAAGAATTAACTAATGTATGCATGAATAAATGGAACAACAAATCAATGTTTCTCTCTCCCTCCCTCCCCCCCAGCCCACCCGCCCTCTTCTCTCTTCTCTCTCTTTCAAACCAATCAATTAAAAGGTGGAAATGAATTCTCCTCTCCTTGAGTGTGGGCTGGACTTACTGACTCACTGCTAATGAATAGATTAAGCAAAAGTGACATTTAAGACTGGATCATAAGAGGCACTGTGGATTCCTCTTGGCTCTCCCTTCTGTGTCACTCACGCTGGTGGAAGCCAGCTGTCATGAGCATATATTTAAGCAGCCCTATGATTAGGTTCATTGGGAACTGGAGTTTCCTGCCAGCAGCAATGAGTGAGCAATATCGGAAACAGACCCTCTAGCCCCAGTCAAGCCTGCAGATAAGGGTAGCTCAGGCAACATCATGACTAACTTCATGGTAGAACCTGAGACAAGAACAGCCCAGCTTAGCCCCTCTCAAATGCTAAATTGGGAGGCGGGGGGGGGGGGTGCGCGCCGAGGAGGGAGGGGGGAGACAAGTACACTTTCTTTGACCCTGTGGTTAAAGGCCTGCTTTTCTCCAGGAAAGGGGCTCCAGTCTTGGGTCTGGTCCTTCTTAGGAGTTTGGGGGCCACCATAGGACCCAAAGATCAAGGCACAAACCACAGACACTGTGTGCTCACAGGTTGTTTATTTGTCCAAGAATAAGGAGGAAAGAGAAGATGAAGGGGGAAACCACATGCTCCAAGGTGGTGGAGCCGAGGGTAGAAACAAACAGAAAGGCTCCTCTACTCTTGCCTCAGACTCCAGGGAACTCCAGCTGCAGACGGGGCCTCTGGGGGTGGCTCTGGGGCCTCCAGGAGGCTTGGCAGTTGCTGGCTGGGGTCAGAATCCCCACAGGGGCAGTCCCAGGCTTGGAATGGCTTCTGTGTACACAAAATATCTCTCTGCAAAGGCACTGGTGGGGAGATGGGGCAGGGAAACTACCCCATCACTGCAGGATCCACTGGCCTGAATCTGAGTCCCAGTCGCCAAGACTATCCCAGCCTCCTCAGGGGCTGGGTCTCTCTGCACCCTCGTTCCTTTCCTCTCCTTTCCCTCAGCCCAGTGTTGAGCAGACAGTCCGTGGAGGGCCAGGTCAGGCCATGGGGTGGACACCCCTCCTTGGGGCTAGTGCCTCTGGCGACCTCTAGGCCAAGAGCCCCAGGCGGGTGACTTTGGCTGAGAGGAAGGAGTGGATGATGAAGACCATGGTTTTGGGGCACGAATGCAGGTCCAGCTGCTGCAGGATGGATGGAGAGAAGAGTCAGGAACTCCGTCTAGCCTGGCCTCTAGGAGACCATAGCCCCCTCCCCCTCCACTCACAATCTCTCCTTCAGCACCCCCGAAGTCCAGGAACAGGAGGCTGGCACCATCGTCCGAGGACATCTGCAGCTTCTCAAAGGGCTGCTGGAGCAGCACGGCCTGGGCCGCGCCCGGCTCCGCCGCCACCAGGGTGAAGCCCTTGTCGATGTGCACAGAGAGGTTGCAGGGACGGCCGTTCCAGGTGCAGGCTGCAGGGAGGGCACATGGGCACGGGGAGGGTGTGTGGAGTGGGCAGAGCTGGCCATCAGAGACCACAAGCCTCCCTCCAACCCCGACTGGCAGCTCCAAAAGTGGGGCTTGGATACCACCAGGGATGGGAGGCTCACTACTTGTCATGCCAACTGTATGCCCACCCCACACAGGGACATCCCTACCCTAAAATAAGGAAGGTGGGTCCTAGCCAGTTTGACTCAGTGGACAGAGCATAGGCCTGTGGACTGAAAGGTCCTGGGTTCGATTCCAATAAAGGGCACATGCCTAGGTTGCAGGCTCGCCCTCCCAGTGGGGGCATGCAGGAGGCAGCTAATCAACGATTCTCTCATCATTGATGTTTCTCTCTCTCTCCCTCTCCCTTCCTCTCTGATGAAAGGAAGGAAATGGAGAGAAGGAGGGAGGAAGCGGGGGGCCCACAGAAAAATTATACTCCACTTCTAGTCCCACTTTCTGTAGCACCAACAGTGGAAAGGGGAGTTTAGGCTCTGCATGGACAGGAGGCTCACTTCCTAAAAAGGCAGCAGACCCACCAACATGGCCCTCGGAGACCTCAGAAACCTATAGAATTGCCCAGTTAAATGTGAATTTCAGGTAAACAATAGATAATTTGGACGTTCTTATACTTAAAAAAATATTTGTTTACCTATAATTCAAATTTAAGTGTGTATCCTGTATTTTATTCTGGCAACCCTATTCCAAATACCATCTCTCAAGTTCTCATCAGCAGAATGGCAAAGCCTTGGGCAAGAAAAACCTGGGGGGGAGGACATTTCAGGGGGGAAAGTCTCAACTACCAACCAGGGCACCTGCATGACCAAAACAGAGAACCCTCAAAGACCCTGAACCCTATGTTCTACTCCCCCACAAGCACCCTGAAGAAAGAAGCTTGAGCCCTGGCCAGTGTGCTAAGTGGTTAGAGCATTGACCCCAAACACCAAAGGTTCCACACCCAGCCCCCGTCAGGGGATGTTCGAAAGGCAACCAATCCACGTGTCTCTCTCACACCAATTTCTCTCTCTCTTTCCCTCTTAACTCCCCCATCCCTCCCTCCCCCTGTCACCTCCCACGGCCCACTCTCTAAAAAATCAATGGAAGAAATATCCTTGGTGAGGATTAATAAACAACAACATAAAACAAAAAAAGAAGCGAGCTTGAGTATGTTTGGGGATAAGAGACTCATTACCACAGTGGCCCTCTCAGACCAGCCTACCCACCTGTGGACACCTCCTGCACACCCTCGGCGGCCCGGTGACAGCCATCCACTAGCTGGCGGGTCCAGACAGCCAGCTCCTGTGGCGACTCCACGCTGAACAGGTGAGTGTCCACACCATGGCGGGTGCCCGTGCGCAGGGCGAAGGAGAGCTCCGCATCGTAGGGCACCGAGCCCTTGGAAGGGCCCGAGTGCACCAGCCTGGGGCGCAGGGTGGGGAGGGCAGAGGGCTAAGCGTGAGGCCTCAGGCAGCAGGGACGTAGTTCTTGGCCGAGGGGCAAGTTCTGGGAAAGCACCCTGTGACTCCTTCACCACCTAATGGGGGACAGGACTTCCAGACCAGCACTGATTGGCTTACAGGAGATCAGCTTCGGCCACCCTCCTCTTTGTTCTCTCAGCTCCAGCTACACCAGTGTCTTCAAACACACCAAACACACTCCTGCCTCAGCGCCTTTACACACTCAGCTCCCACTGCCGAGTACATTCTTCCCTGTTTATCTACATGGTTCATCCCTCACGTCCTTCATACCTTTACTCAACTGTCATCTCGGAGAAGCCCTCCCTATAGAACACGGTACCCTGCCCCTCACGAGCCTTACTACTTATCTCTTCTTTGTTTCCATTGGCTTTTTGTTGTCCTTTTCACTAGAATATCCTCTAGGGTACAAATTTTTAACCCATTTGTTCACCACTATATTTCCAGCCACTAAAACAATGCCTGTCATATAATAAACATCTGTGGCCTGAATTAATGAGTCACTGGTTAGGTCCATGACCTGTTTATCCATGACCTGTTTATCCCTGGTAGGCAGCAGGTGCTGACACATGGGCCACAGCCAAGCCCAGGGTGACAAGGGCCCAAAACCTATCTGACTCCCACTTGCTGTGCAATCTTGAGCAGCTCACGGCCCCTCTCTGGGCAACAGACTGCAAGAGTTCTGGGCTGTGGCCCTCTTTGCTCCTCACTCTATACCCTCGCTCTTGTAGCTTCAAATTCCCCTTGGAGCTTCTAGTGATACCTAGTCCCCCACGTTCCAGCCCTGAGCTACAGACCCACGAGTCCCCAAGCTTCCTACCCAAGGTTCCTACCCATTCCCCACACACTCTGGACGCAACTTAGCCTCTTGCTCCAATCCCCTCCCTTTATTTTCCTACCCCCAGTCCCACTGTCTGCTCAGACACAAGCTCCCAGCCTCCCCTTCATCTGAACACCTCCCTCACCCTCCCCATCTGGCACTTACTAAGCAGGGTTAATTTTACCACCCATGTGTTTTTTCATGCAAATGCGGCCTTTCTTCTCCATCTGCTGCCTCTACTCACTAGCTCTCCTGCAGGACTGCATTAGCCTTCCAGCCCCCATCCCGCCTCTCAAGTGCATTTTCTACCTGACAGCCATAGGGTCACCTCACTCCCAGGCTAAAACTCCTCAACTCTGCCACCACTCCGATGACAAAGCTAACATTTCTTACTGGCAACAGAGGCTCTGCAAAATCAGGCCCTGCCAACTCTCGGTCTCATTCCTCTCCATTTCCTGCGTAGATGCTACACCCCGGTTATATATAGCACACCCATAACTCCACAAACACGCTAGAGCCCTTATGCTTCTGTGCATTTGACTATGTTGTTCTCTAGAAGATACTCTTCCCGTCTCTTCAACAGCAAATGTCTTCTCGTCTGTCAGAATCCAGATCAAATGTCACCTCCTGCCTGAAGCCTTCCCCAACCAGGCCAGGTAATTCCGTAACTCTGCGTGGTAAAGGCTGTTCCCCACCAGACCTGGTGCTTCCTGAGGGCATAAACTATTGGGGTCAGCTCCCTGTCCCCCAAAACCATGCAGCACAAGGTTGGGCAGAGTAGGTGTTAATGAATGAGTGACTTGTGGGATTTCACATCTTTCTCTTTTAAGCCCCCATTCTACAGATGAGGAAATCAAGGCCCAGACAGGGCAGAGGCTAACTTCAGACCACCGGGGGGAATACCTCAGGGCAAAACAGGGCTAAAGTCCCCAACTTCTGAGGCCCATCTAAAGCATCATCCCCCCAAGCTCTGGGCAAGATACTCTCCTGCCTGCCTGTGGGTACCTGGTGGTGATGAGTGGGGCAGTCCGGACTGGCCGGCTCAGGGCCTCACGGGTCTGGGGGAGACAGCTGTAGAGGAGCAGCTCCTTTTCAGTCAGCAGGGCCAAGGTGGGTGCTGTGCCCCCATTGGGCAGCTGCAGAAGACAAGACACAGTGAAGAAGGGCAGGGAGGGGAGAGGTCAGAGGGCCAAGGTGGGGAGACAAAGGGAATGAGGTCAGCTCCAGGGAAGGTGCCCAGCAGGCACCTGCTCAGTCAGCCAGCCGATCTGCTTGATGTCCTGGCTCCCAGCTGTGCTGGTAGCTGCCAGCAGTGCTTGCAGCTCGTCCTTGACCCAGGGCATTAGAGCGTTGATTTGGGCTTGGATGGCAGCTACCCACGACCGTGCACTGGCCTCCTCCATGGCCCTCAGGAAGAGGGTGTCTTGACCATCTGCCGAACAGATCTCCAGATACCTGCAGGCACAAATGAGGCGGAGGGGAGAGTCTGTCTACTCCTGCAGCTCATTAACCCTGAGATCTGGCCCGAGAAACCCCACCTACCACCAAACCAGAAGAAACCACAGGGGTGTCCATGAGAGAATTAGAGCAACACTTGCTGCTGGGGATCCAGCCTTGTCACCTTGTAAATTTGTAACAGACTGTGTTCCTGTTATTGAGGCCTCGTGGGGTCTAATGACGAGAGACCATTAAATACACACACATAGGCACACACACACAAATGCACATACTCAAAACACATATGATAGGGGCCAAAATTATCACTGTGTGAGGATTCATTATCTTGCCCTTTCTTCCCTGGTTTCTAAGGAGGACTGTCTTGCTGAGTCAGCTCCCAGGTTCTCCTTTATGGTACAGGACCAAAATGATGCACTAATTAGGCCAACTTGGTCTACAGAAAAAGAGCTAGAGAAATGGAGTAGGGAAAAGGGAAGGAGATGAAAAGCTATGCAGGCAAGTGTTGGGAAAGGTTTTCAGGGAGGTACCCAGAGGAATAGTAACAGGGAGAGGATTTCTAAATGTTTTGTGGGACATTAAAGATTCACTCCCCTTTGGCCTCTCTGTAACAGATAAGGCGGGACATGAATAAAATTATGGCTCTCACAACACCCACTCCACCCCTTTACCTTTGCCTTCCTCTACTGCAGAGCTAGAAAGCAAAATACTTCAATTCCCAGACTCCCTTGCAGCTAGGGCAGGCCATGTGATCCAGTTATAACCAATAAGATATAGATAGAAGTCCCTTCCTGAATGAAAGGCAACACTTAGTCTCCAAAGATGGCCTCCAACTAATCTATCCCTCCCTGTACACACAATCTAAACTTTTCTCATTAAGAGGTGAAGTTTACTTCTCCTCTTCTTGACCTTGTAACTGGTTTAACAAATAAAATGTGGCGAGAGTGACATTTTGGTATAATCCTAAGCCACCATGAAATCCAACTACCCTGAGAGGGAGAACAAGCTAGCCACCTGGAAAGACCATACAGAAAGAGGAATGCTCCGCCAGCCCCTCGCTGTTCCAACCATCCAGCCGAGGCAGCAGACGTGCGAGTAAAACAGCCATCTTGGGCTTCCAGCCCCAGCAGATACTACATAAAGCAGAAGAATTTGCCAGGTGAGCCAACCAGAATTGTGAGAAATCATAAACCATTACCTTCTAGGACACTAAAATCTACGATGCTTTGTTTATACAGCAATAGAACAAAATATCAGGAGAAAAATTCCTTTCCCTTTGCCTTCATCCGGTCAAGAATATGGACATCTGCCGAGACTGGTTTGGCTCAATGGATAGAGCGTCGGCTTGGGGACTGAAGGGTCCAGGGTTCGATTCCGGTCAAGGGCATGTACCTTGGTTGTGGGCATATCCCCGGTAGGGGGTGTGCAAGAGGCAGCTGATCAATGACTCTCTCTCATTGATGTTTCTAACTCTCTATCTCTCTCCCTTCCTCTCTGTACAAAATCAATAAAATATATTTAAAAAAAAAAAAAAGAATATGGACATCTGCTTGGAGCTGCAGCCACCATCTTGCCTCAAAGAAGAAGAAAACCCTCAATAAAGATGACAGGAGAGCCCAGCTATTGTGGCTCAGTGGTTGAGCATTAACCCAGGAAGCAAGAGGTCACAGTTTGATTCCCGGACAGGGCACATGCCTGGGTTGCAGGCTCAGTCCCTGGTTGGGGACAAGCAGGAGGCAGTCAATAGACAATGTTTCTCTCTCATCAATGTTTCTATCTCTCTACCCCTCTTCCTTTCTCTCTCTCTAAAAACCAATATTAAAAAAAATTTTTTAATATGACAGGAAAAAAAAAAAAAACTGAAAGCCTGATCCCTGAGGGCATTCTTGAGCAGTGATAGAACCTAAATAAATAGCTGACTCTGGATTTTCTAAATATGTGAAAAAATAATCCTCTCATTTATTTAAGCCATTACTGGTTAGGATTTCTGATATTTGCAGCCCAATGTAACCCTAAGTAAAAGTAAAATATTATTCATTTATATTTTAGTTAATAGATCGTGTTCCTTTGACTGGGATATAGTGCTGATATGAAACCCCAGTTATATTCAAGTTACACATATAGTTACATATGCACACACATGGTCAAGCACATATGATGCATATACACATATGATTGTTAACAAATACATGCACAAATCTACAGCAATATCCTTGCAAATGCTCACATATACACACACATAGAAATACATGCACATGCATAGAAATACATGTACACACATGCTTCAGGTCATGTTCGAGATGGGCTGGAAACCACGATTAACCTAAGATCCTATGAGTCTCAGAAAGGACTAATAGCCCTCACTTCCACCTAATACAAAAGTCCTACTGGTGGAATACCTGTAAGTGACCTGTGAATTACCACTTCTTGCCTCATAGGGGCAGGGTAGGGCTGGGTCATCTAATAGGGCCAGGAGATTTGGATGCCAATATTGGGTATTTGACTGACTTTGAACCTTGGCTGTAACTAGGACCCACAGCACCTTTTTTGTCACTCCCAATATATGCACCACCCTCAACACCGCATACCCCACTTGGTCAATATACACTCCATTCAACCACCACCATCACTCAGGCACCCATAGCTTCTAAAGCAGAGAGAGCTACCTGGAAAGAGGCAAGTTCCATCTCTTCCTGGTTGTGTGATTAACCTTGGGCAGTTTACTTCCTCTCTCTGTCCTCATCTATAAAATGGGGTGAAATAATAGGACTTTGTTCATAGGACTGCTGTGAAAGCTAAATAAATGTGTGTATGGTGAACACAATAATGTTGGCTGGTATCAATCTTAACAATGAACTGTTAAGGGCTGCTCAGATGTGAAGGATGATAAGCTTCTATGGCCCTGAAACAAGTATCACCAGACATCTCCGAATCTCCACAGTCGGTAGAGACTTGAGGGGATCACTGAGTCTGACAACCTTCTTTCACAATGGGAAATCTAAAGGTCAGTGAGGAAAAGGGACTAGTTCAACAGAACCAGGACTGGAATCCCACTCGGGGCTCTCCATATTCAAAGTTCCTCCTTAGATGTGAACTTCCCAGAGGAAGAAGAGAAAAGCAAGCACACCCTCATCCCCATAACTTCACTCTTGCATCCATTCAACAAACATTTCTTAAGCACCTACCATGTTCAGGCAATCGTATCTTTCCTTTGGCCCCACCACCTAACAACACCAGGGCATGACTGTCTGAGGTGCCCCCCACTCCAGGCTTACCTGGGCTCTGGGTCACTGGGGGTACACCTTCTCGAGACATATGCCATCTTCAAGGACATGTGTTTGGCACCGTTGAAGTCTCGGGGTGGGGGGCCAGGGGAGGAAGGCTGCCGCTGAAGGGGCGAGGCAGGAGGCGAGTCCCAGCCAACCGAGGTCCCGCTGGCAGAGTTCTTGAAATATGGTGAGACCTCCTTCATGTACTTGACTGGTCAGGGGACAGGTCAGCAGTTACCACTGTGACATGGGCTCCCATGCAGCACACAACACAATTTTCACTAAAATTTGTTAGGAGTTCAATTTATGACTAATGTCACTATCCTTCCCTGGACTAAAGTCTCTGACTTTATGGTAGAAAACACTAGATGCATTCCAACATCTATTCTCACATTTCCCCCCCGGATTATAGACACATGGCCACCTGGAAGAAAGGCTACATTTCCCAGCCTCCTTTGCAGCTACGTGTCACCATGTGACTAAGTTCTAACCACATAAGTAGAAGTGTTTGGATCTTTGGGATGACTGCTTAAAGGGAACAGACAATAGTTACAGCAAGATAGTAAAAAAAAGCACCAAGAGGGGAGTTAGGAGATGTTACTGCTCTGCCACTATCCCATTGTCTGCCTCTCTCTCTTCAGTCTTTTCATTTGCAGAAGAGAGGGGTTGAATGAGATAGTCATGTGGTAGAGGCTGCTAACTGTCCTCCAGTATAGTGATAGTCTGTCAGCTTAAGACTTTATTTTCCAGGCTCCCTTGCAGCTATATAGGTGTTCATGGGATCAAGTCTGGCTGATAGGGTCAGAGCAGAAGGGGTGTGTGTATTAAAGAAAGGGGCAGATCCTGCTAGAGAACCGTTACTGTACAGCCTTAAGCATATTGACCTCCTTGGAGTTCTCAGAAGCTGTACGAGCTTCCAAACTCCCACATCTTTGAACATGTAGTTACCTCTACACAGAATGCTCTTAATACACTGTTTGGAGATAGATACTCTTGGACTTGAATTCCACCTCCAGTACTGTCTGTGTGATCATGAACACCTCTCTGGGCCTCACTCTGCAAATCAGTAAAAGATGAATAAGCCCTGGCTGGTGTGGGTCAGCTCGTTAGAGCATCATCCCATACACCAAAAGTATGGGTTTGATTCCAATCAGGGCATATACCCAGATGGGGGTTCAATCCCTGGTCAGTGCACATATGGAAGGCAACTGATCAATGTTTCTCTCGCACATTGTTTCTCTCTCTCTAAAAATTAATTAAAAACATAGCTAGTGTTATTCAGTGGTTGAGCAACAAAGCATGAACCAAGAGGTCGTGGTTCAATTTCTAGTCATGACACATGCCCAGGTTGCAAGCTTGATCCCCAGTGTGGGACATGCAAGAGGCGGCCGGTTGATGGTTCTCTCTCATCATTGATGTTTCTATCTCTCTCTCTCCCTCTCCCTTCCTCTCTGACATCAATAAAAATCTATTTTATAAATAAATAAATAAATAAATAAATAAATAAATAAATATTAAAGTTTTAAAATGTCCTCAGGTAAGGATCAATAATAATAATAATAATAATAATAATAATAATAATAATAAAATATAAGAGGGATGATATTGTCAACCTTAGAGAGATGTTAGAATTAAGTGATATTATATAAAACATGTGGCACAAGTTAAGGACTCAAGAAATATGTTTCTTAGCTGTTAGCCACCTCTGTCCACATTTCTTAGAACACTATTGTTATTTTGTGCATTTGGGGTTGTCTCTCCCACCAAAATGGAACTCCCAGAGAACAGAAACTGGGCTTGGTTCAAACCCAGAGTCAGTTTCCATGAATGCCAGGGCAGGGCACATTTGTTCACCAGGAGGAAGAAGATGCCACACCCCAAGAGGTTCTCGCTCAGCTCAAACTCACCCCTCTAGGTAGCCTTCCCAGATGCCCACACTGGTTCCACCTCAACCATCGCTTCTGCAGTCCCCTGGAATCCACTCTCCTGTGTCTGTGTGGAGGTCTGTCCCCCACCAGGATGGGAGCATTGTGAGGGTAGGGACCTCACCTGGCTCAACTCTGTGTCCCCAGAATGCAGCAGGGATCTCCTATCCTATGTGCTCCACAAATGAACATTTGTCAACTCTGAAGCCAGAAAATCTGCTAGAGTCCCTGCTCACCCATCCAGGCCATTCCAGAACTGGGTCCTCCCTCTCCTTTCCCACAAGAACATGCTATAAATGGATAGCATACCAGCTGGCACTCAATACAGGGCTTGGATTTCACAAACCAATGGGGGTGGGGTCATGGGGGCCCCGGAGTGTGACCATAAATAGCCCAGCTCTGAGTCTTCCTCTCTGCTCTGATTTCTACCTGAGTCACTCAGCAGGTTGCCTAAAGGCAATGGCCTGGAAAGCTGAGGACACGACCATGGATGGCCCTGTGGCCAGCATTCTTGAGACTCCAAGGATAGAACAGCTGGTATCCACACCCACCCCAGCCAAGATCCTGGCCCAGAAGCCCGATAAAGCAGTGACACATGGGCCTTTCCTCTTCAGGGAAGCTGTGATAGATATAAACACTGCCCATTCCCGAGGCCCCAAGTCCCAGCTCTCCCAAGGGGAGAAGCCAGGGGTCCAAGGACCTAGGCTTCTCTAAAAACACAAGGAACAGCCGAAACCGGTTTGGCTCAGTGGATAGAGCGTCGGCCTGTAGACTGAAGGGTCCTGGGTTCGATTCTGGTCAAGGGCATGTACCTTGGCTGCGGGCACATCCCCGGTAGGGGATGTACAAGAGGCAGCTGGTCAATGTTTCTCTCTCATTGACGTTTCTAGCTCTCTATCCCTCTTCCTTCCTCTCTGTAAAAATCGATAAAAATATATTTAAAAACACAAGGAACAGACAAGGCAGGACCATTTGTCTGACCCATGGAGCGAAGAAAAGGAGATACATCTGCATTTGATCTTAGCCAAAAGGCTGAGAAGAGATAGGGGGTGCATCTGTCTTGGCTCAGTACAGTATCCCCAGTATTTATCCCAGTGCTCAATAAATGTTTGGGACTGAATACCGTGGCACTGAGTCTTGGCTGAAGCCTGTTCTCTAAGCTCAAGCTGTTCCTTATCTGTTCAGTACGTGACTTACTAGCCCTCACCTGAAATTACATGATCTGTCCGTTTGTTTACTAGTTAATGGCCTTTCTCCTCCAACTGAAATGTCAGTCCTGTGAGGGCAGAGACCTGTTTTCTTGTTCATTGGGGTATCCCCAGCATCTAGAATAGTACCATCATATACCAGGTAATCAGTAAATAAGAAATTTGTTTAATGAATTAATATTAACAGCCTGAAGAGATATCAAATAGGCTTGGGTTTTACTTCCTTGCTCTGTGACCTCGGACAGCTGACTTGCCTTTTGTAAGCCTCTATTTTCCCATCTTTATAATGGGAGCAAAATATATCTACTTCCAGAATATTGATATTCAGCACCTGAAAGGCACTTTGCCCCACCTGATGGAATAGAACTTCAATAAGTAATATAGTTATTATTTCTGCTGCTGTTCTCAGTGTAACAGTATAAGGGGATGAGCACACAATGCAGTTACAGACAGACAAAGATTTTAATCCAGGCCCTGTCACTTGCTTTCTGGCCTTGGCAAGTCCCAAGGTCTCTCTGAACCCGAGTTTCTCTGCCTGAATAACGGGCACTTGATACCCCAGCTCTCTGAGTAAAGAGCTATAAAGGCTCAAAGTCAGGGCTGCCCACATGCCACCCAGGATGGTATGGCGTGGACGTGAGGTTCCAACAGGCTCTGGAAGGGATGACCTTTAAAGTCCTGCTGGCTTAGCAAAGCTGGACTATAAATAGTCCCTGGCCCCGGCAGGCCCTGAAGCAGGACTGGACAACAGAGCCTAGGTTGCCACACTCTGAGCAAAAGAATCTTACCTCACCACACCCTTAGGCAGCACAAGGGGCACCATCTATCACGGTCCTAAAGGCATGGGAATGTTTTGATCTAATAATATCCTCTGCAGGAGCCCTGCCTCAGATAAATGCTCATAAGTGCACAGAGGAGTCTCAGCATAATTGTCTTTGGTTCAAGAGACTAGTGACAACTTGAATGTCCATGGGTAGAGGCTGCTAAATACAAGGTAGGAGTTTCCTGACTCAGTCTTTCTTTTTAACTTTATATTTTTTATTTAGTTTTAGAAAGAGAGAGGAAGGGAGAGGGAGAGAGAACCATCAATGTAAGAGCAAAATATCGACAGGCTGCCTCTTGCACCAAGCCCACAACCCAGTCATGTGCCCTGACCAGGAATTGAATCGACAACCTATCGGTGCACAGAATGATGCCCAACCAACTGAGCTCCAGCCAGGGCTCCTAATTCAGTTTTATTCTTGGCTATATCACCAGTACCCACATCTAGTCATGGAACACAGACAGGAATCAGAAAATATTGGTTAAATCAATGTACAAATATCAGTAATACTAGAGGCCCAGTACATGAAACTTGTGCAGGGGGTGAAGGGGTAGAGGAGTTGAGGGGTAGTCCCTCAGCCCAGCCTGTACCCTCAGGGGATGTCTGACTGCTGGTTTGCCAGAGGCAACAGGTAGGGTGCTTACCAGCTGGTCCCGCCCCTGATCACTGCTGCTGGTTGCCTCCCTCTCAGGAGGCCATAGCGACCTGTCCCTATGGCCTGTCATTCCACTACTGGTTGTTCAGAAGTTTGGTCGATTTGCATATTAGGTTTTTATTATATAGGATAATATTGTGCAATCATTATAAAGAATGAAACAAAACTCTAGCTGGTTTGGCTCAATGGATAGAACATCAACCTGCGGACTGAAGGTTCCCAGGTTCAATTTCAGTCAAGTGCACATGCCCAGATTGCAGGCTCAATCCCCAGTAGAAGGCATGCAAGAGGCAGCCGATCAATGATTCTTTCTCATCATTGATTTCCTAACTCTCTCTCCCTCTCCTTTCCTCTCTGAAATCAATAAAAACATATTTTTAAAAATACAAGTAAGGCTGAAACCGGTTTGGCTCAGTGGCTAGAGCACTGGCCTAAAGACTAAAAGGTCCTAGGTTCGATTCTGGTCAAGGGCATGTACCTTGGTTGTGGGCACATCTCCAGTAGGAGGTGTGCAGGAGGCAGCTGATCAATGTTTCTCTCTCATCGATGTTCCTAACTCTCTATCCCTCTCTCTTCCTCTCTGTAAAAAATCAATTATAT